TACTTAACCAGCGACGGCACCGATTTTGATGTTGTTGTCGCCTGTCGGTTGTCTTCTTTTTTTTAATAAGAATAATTATGTCTTTGTGACATGTTCTCTGCCTTTGTGACACATTTTTCTCTGCCTTTTGGTAATTTACGTTTTTTTGTCGTTGTTTTCGTTTATCTTTTTTTCTCAAGGTTGGATTTGACATCGTCATGACTGATCAAAATGACGCTTATTTGTTATCATGTTGATCTTCCATGCTTTGGATTCTCATATTGATTTGGATACATGTTTTGCGTTCGTGTATAGTTTTCTTATGTTGCTTGACTCTTATTTGCGATTTGTCTGTGGCCTTCAGTAACTTCATTCCTTTTGTGGTTTGTTTGTCGATGCAATCAGATTGTTCGTATCTTTATTTTGTTGGATCATTATTTAGATTTTTTTAATATTTTATTTTTTTAGTCATTGTGTGATCTATATGGCTAGTTTGTGTCAATGTTTATAGGAAAATGTCATAATTATAATTTAGTTTACGTTTACGATTACGATTATGCTTGTAAATATTCATTGTAATTATAGATAATTTCTATTTTTAATAAAACTAGCGCCTTTATATATAAAATAAACATTTTTTGGATTTAAAGTTTTTATATTTGTAATTTATTATTTTATACCTCATTATTTTTTTAGCTTTTAATTTTTAAAATTTTATAATAGTTTTTAGTTATTTTAATAATTTTACAAATATTGTAATAATTTTAAATATTATACTAATATATTTATAAAATAATTATAATTAAAGTGATACAACTATATATATGAAATTTTTAGTGAGTGTTGTATTTGATTTAAATAATGATACCAAAAACGATATTTATAATATATTTATAAAATAATTATAATTAAAGTAATAAAACTTTATTAAAAATTGACATGTATACTTTTTAAAACCAAAAATGACTTTATTTTGAACTAAAAACCACTTAAACCTTAACTCTGATGCCATTAAATGTAACACCTCTGACCCGTACCTGACTCGACCCGGATACGAATCAGAGATATTACATTTGACTTTTCAAAACACTTGTGATTCACAAATACGAACAAATAAATTTTTTGATCAAAATACAAAGTATAATCCTTCAGTTAAATAAAAAAACATTTCGTATACACATTTATATAAAACTTGATAATTTACATGAGTACAAAATACATGAGTTTACAAAACATATTAGAGCATTTCCAAATTAAACGCATAATACATGCCAACAATTACAATATTATTTGATTTTATCAATTTGTTTTACAAGAACTCTCATTATTATTTTCGATATCACAAAGCATACTTATGAACCTTATTCACTTGGTATATCTTTGTTTAAAATGCCCAATGTATACTACTGAGAACTTTAGGTATTTGAGTACTATGAGGTTGTGAACTAATGTTGTCACCACAACTCGTAATTTGCATCGAAGTGTCACATAATTGTCCCAAATGACCACCTAGGTTTGCACCAAAGTGCCACATAGGTTTGCACTGAAGTATCACATATTTGTCTTGAAGGACCATATAAAACCCTCGACTCTTGGCATGCCAACTATACCTCTAATCTCATACATATACTTGGGTCATTAATTACATAATTATGTTCAATCATTATTCAAAGTGGTTTTTATTCACATAGTTTCTCTCTCATAGAGTTTGTTCATATTCACTGGTTCAAAGTTCACATTCCTATAATCGTATGATCATAAAACATAACTTGTATAATAGACTTGAATAAAACATGGAAATATAACATAAAAGAAATTATAAAGTTTTCGATCGAAAACACTAAGGTTTACTTATCACAAGCCTTCCTCAATTCTATTGCAAAACTGAGAAGTTGCACTCACCTTTGCCTCACGAAAGTTCTAATCCAAATCCTTAACACCTTTTGAATTGATACTTAATTTGTCGAGCTGACCCAAATTCGAATACGTTCAATCACTACACAAAACAATCGAAAATCTCTATCGTTCTTCAACTCAATTATATTGATTCAGAAAAACTTGGAATGCAATAAACCATATATTTCCATTTCATGTTTGGAAGTATCGGTACTACCGTAATAGTATCGATACTTCCCTTAAAGGGTATCGATACCTCCTCCAGGTACCGATACCAATCTGGCATTTGATGTTTCAAGGGTATCGATACCATCCTTCAGGTATCGATACTACCCTTACAGTATCGATACCTCTTCAACAGGTATCGATACTACCCTTAATAATTTCCCAGATTTTCCCTTTGAAGTATCGATATTGTTCTAATGGTATCGATACTCCAAACCCATAATTACCATTTTCACCCCGAAAATCACCCAAAATCCTCCCAAAACTCTTATATACATCATACCATAAGCCTTTGAATCCCACCTATCATCATATCAGATATGAGCCCAACATAGATGGCATATACAAGTACTTCAAGAAAAGTGAAGAAAGTAGATCTTATGCACCAAAGATAAGAAGAAACAGATCCGTTATCGAACAACACTTGAAGGGGGCCTAGTTGCGTCATTGCCCCTCGACCCCTCTACGTCTCGGCGCACTGGGATCGCTTATTCCCGCATGTAGTTTGGGTTGTTGGGTGACACGACCCGATGTCCCCGAATATCTCATTAAAACTTCAAAAACTACTCTATATCAAGATTTCATTTCAAAACCCATTTTACAAAATCCTTTCAAATTCACTTATCTTGTTGATTTAATCTTATATAAGCTTATATAACACTCCCACTTCCATTACCAAACCAAAAATTAAAGTAAAACCACAAAATTCATATTCTTACCTTTAGGAGTAAAACCCACGGTAGAAAAAGAAAGCAAGAAAGCAAGAAAGGAGTTTCCAGATACTCTCAAAACCCACGTGTCAAACACCTAATAAAGGAGATACTTATCCATTAATATGAAAAGACCATAACGCCCTCATCACTAAACCTAAATTTCTATCCTACCCTACACAAAAATTCCACCATAAATCCTTGAATATATCAAATTATTTTAATTCAACTACCGAGTTAAAAATTCTTACATTTCGGTCATTTACCCGATGATTGAGATGTTACATGTATATTTGTAGACCCCTTTCTTTTTTGCATATTCGAGTCGTATCTCATTTTAAAGTGGTCTGTATATTTTGATTTAATTATTTTGGGAGCTCATGATGTAAAGATTTTATATAACTGTGGTTAATTATTTTATTATGAGCATTTTCAAAGGAATCATTTTAATTAGGGAAAGTCAAAAAATTTTGGTTATCTATTTCGGTGGTTCTGTGTTGCATTCTAATGGTTGACTTTGTGTTGTACTAGTTTAGGGTGTTACATTTTCTATGTGTTTTCTATTGAAAATATGTTTTTACCCCTTAAAATTTTATAAATTCAAGTTTGCCCCCAACTTAAAATCTTGCGTCCATCCCGAGACACAATACATAATAATATTTTTATTAGATTTGATCTTAAAATCTGGTGTGTACATAATAATATTTTTATTAGATTTGAATATAATTTTTTAATAAAAATACAATATCCTTTATTGTTGTGATAAACCTTGACGAAAATGTAATATCTTTTATTATCGTTTTACAAACTTTAATAATTACTATATAGGGTAAATTATATCGTTTCTCACTGAACTATATTTTCTCTCTTATTTTTCTCACCCAACTTTAAATTTTTCTATTTTGCTCACTAAACTTTACACATTGAATTATTTTGCCGACTTTGTCGTTAACTATTTAACGGTATTATGACGTGTCACAAGTATAAAAACGACGTCGTTTTGAAAAACTCAATATAAACCAAAACAACAACGTTTCAAATCTTATATTGAAAGTTCAATGAGTATAATAGGAAAGGGAATAAAGTTCATCGAGGAATTGTGTAATTTACACTTTTTCATTTTCTTCATTTTCTCTCTGTCGACCACTATGTCATTTTCATTTCGACCACCGTCTACCGTCATTGACGGTGGCCATTCAGTCCCAAATTTTATGGGTCAATTCATCTTGACACCCTGAGTCCGAATATGGTGATTGTTTCACCGAAAATTATCCCAAAACCCGTAAATATCGATTGAAATGTTTCAACTTCCTCACTTTCAATCTCAAATTCATGGACTTCGAAGCAACTTCCGACAAAATGGAGTTTGGATTTGAAATCACGATGTTGAGGTTAAGTGACTCATGAAATTCGAGATTGAACGACCACCATCTACGATGGTCGATAGTGGCCGGCGATGGCATCCGACCACCTTTTGGTTTTTTGTTATTTTCTCAATTATTTTATATTAAAAATAAAAAAGGGCACATCATGCGGCCATTGGAGAGAAAACAAGAGAGTGAGTAAAATAATTCAATGTGTAAAGTTCAGTGAGCAAAATAAAAAAATTGAAAGTTGAGTGAAGAAAATAGGAGATAATATAATTTGATAAGGAACGGTGTAATTTACTCTTATATATATATAAATATATATTATTCCGAGAATTGACCAATTAAATTACACCTTTTTTTTTCCTTAAAAATGATAAAAATAACGAGGTTGAGTTGGAACATTTAAAAAACTGTAAATATGCCAGAATGGATTTGATTTATCCCAACGATAAAATCAAATAAGAAACAATAATTAATATTTTTTATTAAGCTAAAATAATTATAAAATAATATTTATTTTAAATATTTTAAATTATTTAATAAGAAATATTTAATTATTCTCACTACAGCAGCTAATGTTTAAATCTAAAATCTTTGAAAATAACCATAGTTCCTTTAACTATTACTATAATTTGGTTCGTGTTTATATTCGTTTGTAAAGAAGAGGAACAGCAGAATGAATTATAAATTAAAATTTAACAATAAATGCATAAAAAGGGAAATTCCCATTGTGTCCCTCAAACCACTTTTCTGAAATTATCAAAGGAAAATCTGATATATTAATAATAATTCTACCTCTCTTTATTTTTAAGGACTCTTTATTTAATTAATTTTTCTTTCTCCTCCTCCTCCAGGAACCTTCCTTTCTCTCTGAAAATTAAAGGGAAAACAGAACAGACTCTTTCCATCATTCATCTCTTTTTTTTTTCTTTTTCATTCCAAAATTTTTTATAGGTGGACATGAGACCCAATCTGCAACCACCCCCATCGGCCGGTGGCTCCTCCTCTGTCAATAGGAGCCGTCCAGGTCGACGAGTTGACCTAACCCTACCTCTTCCACAACGCAACCCAACCCTTGCCGTCCCTCTTCCCCTTCCTCCCTCATTTAACTCCGCTCCACCTACAGCCAACTCTAACGCCGCCGCGCCTCTGCAGGTCAACATCTCGGAGCTCGATCGTGTAAGCCGAATAGGAAGCGGGACGGGGGGAACCGTTTACAAAGTCATCCACCGTCCTACGTCTCGCCCTTATGCCCTCAAAGTTATCTACGGGCACCACGAGGAGTCCGTTCGCCGTCAGATCCGTAGGGAGATCGAGATCCTCCGTGACGTGGACCACCCTAACGTTGTGAAATGCCACGAAATGTACGATCACAACGGAGAAATCCAGGTCCTTTTGGAATTCATGGACGGCGGATCTTTGGAAGGAATCCCCATATCTCACGAGTCTAACTTATCAGATCTAGCCCGTCAAGTCCTCAGCGGTCTGAACTACCTTCACCGGCGACACATCGTTCACCGCGATATAAAACCCTCGAACCTGCTAATCAATTCGAAGAAGGTTGTCAAAATAGCTGATTTTGGGGTGAGCCGAATTCTGGATCAAACCATGGACCCATGTAACTCATCTGTTGGGACCATAGCTTACATGAGTCCCGAGAGGATTAACACCGATTTGAACCATGGGCTCTACGATGGTTACGCTGGGGATATTTGGAGTTTAGGTGTTAGCATATTGGAATTCTATTTAGGGAGGTTCCCTTTCGCGGTTGGTCGACAAGGTGATTGGGCCAGTCTCATGTGTGCGATTTGTATGTCTCAGCCACCAGAGGCTCCTCCTAATGCTTCCAATGAATTTAGGCATTTTATATCGTGCTGTTTGCAGAGGGATCCAGCCAGGAGGTGGACGGCGACTCGGTTGTTGCAGCATCCTTTTATACTCAGAGGACAACAACATCAGGCTGCTCAGAATCTTCATCAGTTATTGCCACCCCCACCTCCCTTTTCTTCCTAGTTCCCTATTTCTTTTTATTTATTTTGGGTTTAGGGCAAAAATATCATCTTCTGTAAGTTTTGATATAATGAGGGTGTTGGGGAGGGGGAGTTTGGGTGCAATGTATTTCCTTTCTTTTTCCTTTCATGTTTCTATTAATCACAGTCTTGGTCTTTTGATAAAAAAGATAATCTTTACAATATTAAAAAAAAGAACCTCTGTTATGACTTGCCCTTCTGCTGATTTTGTTTGCTGCTTTCTATGTTCTTTGTCAGCTTGCTTCGAGGCTCCTTTAATCTTGTTATATTACTATTATTATTTCTAATTCAGTAGAGAGATGTTAGATACTTAGATTTGGCTTTAGCTTTAGTGAACAAAAGGAGGAATGAATGCCTCATCTTTGTCGGATATCTTATCCTGGAAGCTTGAGAAGAATGGGGTTGAATGTATAATGGGTGAAGTTCCATATCTTGTTTTTAGAATTCTTGTGTTGTTGATTGGATACCCGTTATTTCCTGTTGCAAAAATTGTGCATTATTGGCCCCTGTTCTTCTAGTCTTTTTTGTGAAGGCATGCTTATTAGTTATATGTCTTATAATAGCTAGCTCTGTAGTCGAACAGGGTAACCAAGGTTAGGGTTGATTCCCCGTATCTTCTATTTAATTACTTTTGAGCGTGTTCCGGTTGTGGAAAGATATGCTACTTGCTGTTTTTCCCCCTTTAGCTTGTCTTGTTTCCAGTTCCTCCATCTTTTTTTAAACTTTTGTAATTACTGTACGTGGTTGGTCATTTGGCTATGGTTTTTGAATTGGGAATTTTCTGTATTACACTTAGACAATGATGGATCAGAGAGTTGTAGATGCATTTGTGTGAATAAAATTGAGGTAGAACAATGCCCCGAATAACATGGTCCGTGTCTTTGATCTGGACTTTTTTGAGTGGGTTAATGTTTTTTTTTTTATCAATTTTGATTTTTGCCCTCTTAAACTGGAAAGTTTTGTTTTGGTTTGGGCGTGTTGTTTTGTTGAGATCCCGGGGCTTCAAACTGTCTTTGTAGTCCTCTGATGAATGTCCAATAATAATAATTGAATGTGCGGAGGAGAAAGGCTCTAAAAATTGGCATTGCCATCTATTTTAGTTTGGACCTAGGTGCATGTATTGGATTTTTTTAAAAAGTTTTTTATGCGATGAACCTTGGAGGTCATGTCTGGTACGCAAAACATAGATTGCAGCCGAAAGGGTGCCTCTGGCTGGGCCACAATGAATCGGAATACCGTTTAGTAGATTTGATTAGATATCGGTACGAGTCTTGTACTGCTTATCATCATATGGAACTTTATTACTTAATAATTCAATCAGTTGGACGGTAATTAGATGAAGTTAATAATTTTGTCACTACACTACAATCTGCATTCCCAAAGGAAGGGTGGCTTGACCATTAGTCCATTAGGCTAAGATCAAATTGTTGTGCGATACACTCGATACAAGAACAAGTGTGTCTGTTCAAAATTGATCAAGAGGTCGTGGTGGCAGTGGTAGATGCAATTCCAATCATATCAATTTATTGGACACATTATTCAAGAGTGCTGCTACTGCTATAGGTTCCATCAACTCGGAACTGATGGTTACCAAAAACAGCATAGTTATTTGAACTATGTTGATCAATCAAAGAGTAAAGCAAGCTTACAATCATTTTCTGGACCAGCTCTGTCCTCTCGACCTGGGCCAATCTCAACTCTTGGGCTCTCAGTTCCTTCATTTTCTGGATTCTATCTTTTAGTTAGACATCAATACACATCATTTGCACCTAGAGGGGTAGTGTCGGTTGGACCTGGGCCACCTCTGTTTTTCACTATGGTTAGGGGAGCTGCACCTGCACGCCACTCGATTATAAAAATTCGATTTCTATCTCATAATTTTATAAATTTATTTCTACTAAAAATTACTAATAAAGTTCGAATCATAAAATTAAATTAAATAACTTAAAATTTTTAAAAATTAATATCTTGCTAATATATATATATATTAACATTATAAATATTCAACTGAATATTTATATATATATATAAAGTTTGAATCATTTGCTAATATATATATATATATATATATAGAAAGACGTTTGAAAGTACCTTAACATTATAAATATTCAACTGGAGGGGTCGATTCGGATTCTTGTGGGACCCATTTACGAAGGCGCCTAAATCAACATAACGACATTCAACTGAATATTAAACAGAAAATTTCGCTCTTTCATTTTCGAAGTCCTCCAAGAGGAATTTCTCTCTCCTCCGAGAAAAAGAATAAACAGAAATGCACAAAGCCTTGGCTTTTTGCTTTCATTGCACTTCCATCTTGATGCTGTTTTCTGCACTTCCTTCTCTCGCAAGACCACTTCCTCAAGGAGGTCAGTATGGTTCAGTTCATTAAGTTCTCCTCTTGTTCTGTTTGGGATATCCGCTTTCTTTGAATTCTGGTTTTCGATGTTTAAGCCATTTTTTGCTTTCGAGGAATTAGCTATATGTAAAAAAAAAAAGATTAATTGGATGATTTTTGTTTTGAAATGACAATTCATCTTGGGTGTTTTTTTGGTCGCAGATCCACTTTACTTGAGCTTTGCGTTGAATGCGACGTATTTTCCAACTGAGGACTACTATGACTACATCGTCGTGGGAGGAGGGACCGCCGGTTGTCCATTAGCCGCCGCCTTGTCGCAGATGTTTCGGATTCTTGTTCTTGAAAGAGGAGGTGTTCCCTATGGTAACCAAAATTTGATGAATCAATAAGGGTTCTTGACCACACTCACCGAGGTCGACACCTACGACTCTCCTGCTCAAAGCTTTACTTCCGAGGACGGCGTCCTAAATGCTCGAGGACGGGTTCTTGGCGGCAGCAGTGCCATCAATGCCGGTTTCTATATCCAAGCTGATCCGGAGTTTTACGCGAGTTCAGGTGTAGGTTGGGTTCTCAGTTTGGTAAACCAATCTTATGACTGGGTTGAGAAGGGAGTTGTGGTTAGGCCAGAGTTAAAGAACTGGCATTCAGATGTGAGGGATGCTTTGCTTGAGGCAGGGATCGATCCTTACCGTGGGTTTAGTTTGGAGCATTTAACCGGTACAAAGATCGGTAAAGTAGCAACTTATGCAAGTGTGGAAAGGGTGTTACTGGCTTCTTCTTCGTCAAATGCGATGTCTCGGCAATCAGCAATCGGGGTCATGTTTCGCGATGCGATGGGAAGGTATCACCACGCTATGGTGAAGGAGAAAGGCGAGGTGCTACTATGTGCTGGAGCTATTGGAAGTCCACAATTATTGCTGCTAAGTGGAATTGGTCCTAGGCCTTACTTGTCTTCTTGGGGAATTCCGGTTGCGTATCACCAGCCATACGTAGGCCAATCTGTCTATGATAATCCGAGGAATGGCATCTCAATTTTGCCTCCGATACCCTTACTCACTTGTACAAGTTGCCGGGATCACTGAAATGGGGGCTTATTTGGAGGCAGCTTCAAATGTTATCCCTTTTACAACCCCTTCACGCTCAGTGTTTGTCAGATCACCTTCTTCCCCTCTGCTTTTAACAGTGGCTACCATCATGGAGAAGATCGTCGAGCCTATATAGTACGCTTTAACTACTTTAGCAATCCTATAGACTTGGAGAGGTGTGAACGGTACCCGCAAGATTGGGGATATCTTGAGGAGTCGATCCATGTATGATTTTAAGTTCACTGAATGGTTTGGGGGCAGAAATTTCAGGTTTGTAGGGCCTCCATTGCCTGTTGACCAATCAAACTACGAAATGATGGCTGATTTTTGCCGGCGTACTGTGAGCACCATATGGCATTACCATATGGGTGAGTCGTGGGGAGAGTGGTTGATCAAAACTATCATGTCATTGGAATTGATGCACTCAGAGTAGTTGACGGATCAACGTTTACTATATCGCCAGGGACTAATCCCCAGGCAACTGTGATGATGCTTGGAAGGTCAGTGATTGATTGTGAAGTATGTTTCATAGTTAAACAGAACAGCTAAACTTTAAGCATTACTTTGTGTTTGCAGGTACGTTGGAATGAGGATAACCAAAGAGAGAAAGTGATTGAAATGATTACTTTTGGGAATGGGACCAAGCCTGCTGCTGGTTTGCTCTTCAGAATGCTTGGCTAATTGCTTTTACTTTCCAGTTTTAGGTTTGGTCGCAGAAGACGATTACTGGTCTTCTTTGAGAAAATCAACACGTTGTACATGAAGAAATAGTTTAGCAGTATAAAATTGTACTTATCATATGGAAAGTAGATTGGTTTGACAGTAACTGGTTTTGTGTCGGGAAGGAGGTGGATAGGCTTGGCGATGAGCTGGTCTTACACCATTAGGAATGTCTCAAGGATTTCTGTATATCTCTAAAAAAACATATTTCAGTGATCAAGATAAAATCATTGATGCTTGAATAAATTCATGCAAACATCAACTGCAGACAAGACAACCAAATAATTGACAAAGATCAAATGGAAAAAAACGATTCACTATGAACACGGTAGAGAGAGCCATATTCGTTGCTAAAATGTGTTCACTATTGAATATACAAAAGGTCAAAGAAATGACAACCTAGGAACTACCATGGATCACACAGAAGAGATTGATTGTGCTGAAACAGAGGTGGTGGGGCTGTTCAGATCCCTAACTGCTTTTGGTTTCCCGCTTAATCTTTCTATTGCGTCTTGACAAATGTCATTGAACCAGCCGTCATCAGGCAGCACGCTTACAGAACAAAAACACAAATGAGAATTTCTTATACATTCATCCAACAATTTTCAAAAAGGTATTCAACAAAACCCACACATTTCCCCATCTAAAAACACTTGGAATCCAAATCCAACTCATTCAAGCTTTCTATCAGAAGTTATAAGGCCATTAATATCAATTATACCATTTTCCTACTAGGAAAACTCTTGGCGCAACAGTGATAAAAGCATAAAGGCAGATATTGATGCAAATCTATTGTGATGAGAAACTTAAAAGTTGGTACTATTATTCCCACTATTCCTCACATTTTATATTACTCCCCCACAGAACAATGCTCTAAATAAAGTGATCTATGACTTACGACATTGGTTTTACCAATAGTATACATCCATTTAGAATATACAGGCATAGCTGGGGAGACTAACAATGATAATATCATAGCATACTGCATACCTATATGGATCCATCCCTGTAGCTGCAAATGCAGCCAT